TGATGAAGTGAAGCCATCGCTGTAAATAGTAGGCCAGGAGGCCTTGTCGCCGCGCCATTTCGATTCAGGAGTGTGGCGTCACCCTACTGAGTGCAGTCCAGGTTGTATTAGTGATAGGAAAGGCTTTCTATGAGCACCTTATCCTAACTTGTGGCTTTCAGCATTTTAGACCCGCACGAGGGAAAACTAACTGATTGATGAAATCGCGGTTACTCAGGTTCACTTCATCGCCAAGCCAGAAAGTTGTGTTCGATTTCTGCTGTTCCTGCTCTGCTAATATTTTCGAAACTCTCGACATTCACTGCTGAATCTTCTTGAATGGAGGGATCGTTCATACAAAAGGTTTTCTCTTCGATGTACACACGGGCTCCCTTCGTGGCCCGCCCTCAAAGCCCTCGATATTTTTTAATTCCGCTCTTCCACTCCCTACCCAAGAGGGCTTGCCGTTCATGACATTCACATGCATGAATTCCAAGCTTTTGATGCGGAAATCTTTGCACGTTTATCCTGATACGGCCGAATCTGTAGTCAGCTATATATTGGACCTCACCAACCTATGGTGGATATGCTTTTTGACAATATTCTCAGGAGTCTTTGAGCTTCCATAAGCGATCAATCTTTGTGAGATGGGCCGAAAGGCCATTATATGTACTTCAAGTGAGAGCTGCATGACGCTCTGGTGATGCATCCTCCGAATACGCCAGATCTCGGAAAGAGTCCACCCGGCAGCGCGGGAGACTAAATTCCACTCGATTCGGATTAGGTGAAGCCATTCACCAAATAAAGGTCATGGAACTTGGAAACCATAGAACTGTATACAAGAGACTATAGCGAATCTGAAATGAGATCTGCTAATTGTTCAATAAATGCATTTGCTGTGGTTCCTGACACCATATGTTATGCCTCACTCTGTATCTTGCTCAAAACCTGGGACGGTAGTAAAGTGCCATAGACTGGGAGTCAAAGGTGGTGAACTGCGGCCGTAAACGGCGAGGAGAAACAGGGAGGTGACCCTAGGATAGACGGCGAACTTCAGCACGATGTTGGCAAAACTGCTGCATCGCCCGGAATTGAACTCTCTGCTATTCACTTGACAGCGGGCACTGATACCACTGCGCCATCAACGCTGCATTGCAAGGGTTGCTGAGGTAGAGAACAGCCGTCCGGGGCGAGGGGACCAGCGGATCAATGGGCAGTGCCCGCTGTCAAGTAAATAGCAGAGAGTTCAATTCTGGGCGCTGCAGCAGTTTTGCCAACATCGTGCTCAAGTTCGCCGTCTATCCTAG